ACGCTGGATGTCACTGGAGTAGTAGGAGCAGGAATGTAATTGTTATAATTACCATTACTCATGTGCAACACCTTGGCCATCTTCTTCATGGTAGCATCCAACTTGGAATCTGTTGTCTCTAATTCATTCCCGAATTCATCCAACATCCTATGAGAAATTCATCTTGACATGTTGCAATAATAATGTAATACATTAATAATAAATTTTTAATTATATATATTTCATTATTATCAATAGTATTATAGTTATGTGTAACTTCTTATATTTTAATTATAAGAAAAATAAAAAATTTACGATATATTAATACTTTGTAATTTTTTTAAACTGAAAAAAAAACTAATAAAATATTAGCTTACACAGCTTGTTCATCTAGTTCACTGTTGATTTGCCTGGATACTGTTTTTAATGTACCAACTGTTTCCCCAATCATATCCAACTGTTCATCCTGCTGTCTCATCATAGCATTTTGCTGTTGCATTGTATCACTGAGAAACTGTCTGTTTGGACTATCTATTTCATTTTCTAGCTTGCTGTATTTAGTAGTGCCATGATTAGCCGGCACTCTCGCAGGGCTGTTGTCCAAAAGTGGCTAAAAATATATAATACATCAAATATAACATAATTATCACAAATATATAACAAATGAAATTGTTAAAATTAAAATAATACACAACAAATAAGAATTAAAGAATTCTAAATAGTTCAGCTGAATCTTTAGTGTTTACATAATTCCATGTGAATTTATATATTCATATCCAATCCTGTAAACTATACGCCAAATTTAATTTTTAGTTGTAAAACGCAATCCTAACAGATTAGAATAGTAATATCACAAATTAAATTGACAAACAATTTAATAATATTGATGAACAGATATCTTAAAAAAATACAATGTAAGATAAATTTGCTTCTACTTATTTATATATATTGTAAGACAGTACACATACTTATCACGTATTTAATATTTAAAATTTTGCAAATACTAAATTATCAATGAAAAAATGAAAAATATGATACTTATCATAAATAAAAAAAGAAACCGAAGATAAAAATCGTTTCCTGCGAATTCTTGAAGACACGATTTTCTCTTACGTAAATAGTAATTACTGCGAAACTTAATTAAGTTTAATAACGAAAAAAGTTAATACTGTGTATACCATTGTCGTTTGCGAGGATTAGTAGACTGATTTATTAATTCTATAACGTGTAAACTATCAAAATAATGCTACTTGATAAGACATAACGAATCACTTTATTGAGGTTAGAGTCACTGAAATGCGTCAACGGCGTCAACTAACAGCAAAACGATATTGTTCAATACTGACAAAAAAGATTGGAAGCAATACCGATAGATGTCACTGTCGCTAAATAAAGCTGAAAACAGCTGAAGATAGCTGTGAATTGTTTATAAACAATTTTAATTTTAATTTTGAAAAACCCACTTTTAATTTAATAAAAATAATAAATTTATCTTAATATTTCAAAAGATAAAAAAAAACATTATTTTCATTAGTTTAGCGTTAATTTTTTTTACTGTATAAAATAAATAGATAAAAGAAAATTCACAATTCGGAATTGTGAATGATTAAATTTGATAAAGAAATTCGTATTCAATTCAAACCCGAATTTAGATTTCAATTTGTGACAAATGTCAAATTATTCAGATTACGAGTGTTTTGTAAGCATAGAGATTTAAAAAAACCTTATATATATTCGTAACATATAAGAATGTATAGGTTAAGATATGAAAAATTTAAATTCAGTCATTATAGAAACCCAATTTAATACTGAAAATTACTATCAATATTAAATTTTTGTAAAAAAAAATACATCTCTTAAATTTTAATCTCTTAAACTTTTAATGTTAATCTGAGATGTATTACAGTCATTCAAAATATACATATGTATATATGAGGCGTTCCATGTGATACAAGTGCTATTAAATGTCAGTATTATATGTATATATAAGTATGTCACAGTGTTAACTTTAGTAAATGTATATAGTAAGGCCCAGTTTCACAATTCATAGTTAACTCTATCGAAGTTCAACTTATTTATTATCTCTCTTCAATTCTAGAGTTGGAAAAAGATGAGAAATAAATTGAATCTCGGTTAAGAATTAACTCGTGAGTTGTGACACTGGGCCTTACTAGAGTGTATACATTGACTACAGAAAACTACAGTAAGTGTATATATACATTTAATTCTCTAAATTAACCCTTTGGCTATATTACATATATATTTATATTTATATATAATATTATAATAGTATAAGTGCTGTACATTCTTAAAATAGAAAAAAGATTAATGATGAAAGATTATTCGTTGGGATTATTCTTTTAGTTTCTTGTTAAACGATTGAAATTGTTGGACTTGCTGAGTACATTTTCGACTTATTTATTTTTTTTTCACTTTTACTTTTCAAATTTCTTCAATTTTTCTTGTTTTTATTTTTTTCATACCAATTATATGGACGCACTGCTTATGTTCTTTAATTGTTTTCTGGTTGCAACATATATGTACAACTTAATACTTACAATTAGCATGCTAAATACAGTTATATGATGTGGAGTATAAGTAAAGCGAAACGCAATGTATATACAAACCTGTCTTGCCGTACTGTCACGATCCCGACTTCTGCTTAAGTTCAGTTTGTCCTTCATGATCTGCGAAAGTTTTAATAAGCGAATAGAGCCATTAAGGTGATATTAGTCTCGCAAACGCGGGCACTTTCGTGAACGTGTTAATATATGTAACGAAGCATTGCGTGACTATGAATCGTAATGCAAATATAGCAATATATAAGTAATTGCAGTGATTATGTACAATATAAATTACATTACGTGTTATATATTATTATATATTATATTTATCTTATGTAATTTAAAAAGTGGATATTAGATATTTAATAAGTAACCGTAATATGAGGCAATTTTTAATTGCTTGCCAAAGTAACTCGAAAAGAAAATAGATTTTCCTCTGTATATAGAACTATTTTTTAAATATCAATTAAATATTTAATTAATTACCTTCACTTCCTCTCGTGCCTGCTCAATGAAACTCCGTTGAACGGTCAACTCCTTGTTGTCAATTTTGAACTTTGTTGGATTTTTTTCAACGATACGTACACACGCATTAAGGACAATATAAAAAATTCAAATTTAAATTAAAAAGTAAATTTAAATTTGATACAAATTTCAACATTTATTTAAATTTCAATTTCAAACTTGAACTCATTAAAATTTAAGTCAAATTCAATTACAGTAAATTGTATTGAAATATTTCAGATTGAAAAAGGATATAGATAGTATCCTCGAGGTCGTCGAGATCCCACTCGATGGAACGAAGTGCTTTCCGCAGTTCGGTGGTGGTCCAATCGAGTTCGTCTGTACGTGAGATTGCAGTGGCTGAGCCACTCAGCGGTATACCGGTCGGCGACGCGATCGCGACATTCTGCAGTTCGCTCCAACGACCGTACAAGCCGCGATTCTTGTTCAACGCCTTGCATACCTCGCTGAAACAATTCAAGCCAATTAAAGCACTGCCAGTCACGTAATAGTTTAAATCTAAACAAATTCACATAAAGCATTGCAGACACATCCAAATCAATCGACACACGTCCGAGTGTAAAAAATACGGCGATTCAAATTTAAATCCATATTCAATCTAACATTCGAATTTTAAATCTTAATTTAAATTCAAATTAAATTTGATTACATTTTCATATTTATGCTTAAATATTTATATTTATCATTATTTTTTATATAAAATATGTGATTTATTTCTATAAAAATATTTTTATCAAATTATAAATATAATTTCATGCAAAATTATTCAGATAAAATTCTCTTTGTACTATTTGCATTTTTTTCAATTTTTACCGTAAGATAATTAGACAATTGAGGAGCAGGCATACAAAATGCATTTTGTCCAAAATTTCAATTTTTTTAGTTAGAGATAGCGTAGTGTTCAGTGTGGTTGAAAGACTCATATAATATTATAAGCAACTCTGAGATGTTCAGAAAGCATTTTTTCATCGTTAATTTATATACTGAAAAAAAAACAGACATTTCGAAGTGTATTATATTTTTTAACTGGAGACGAACAAAATTTATTTGTTTAACATTTTTAGTAATTGTTTAGTAATTTTGTTCAATATTTCACATCCTACTGATTGGCATATTGTTATTTTCTGTAAAATGCATAATTTTCTTGTGTGCGGAGTTTCTTTTTCGTTTTCTGAAAATTACAAATTTTGGATAAAATGCATTTTGAAAGTTTGCTCCTCAACTCCAATTCTTCTTATATAAATATTGCAAGACAAATTAGTGTCTCATATATATATATATATCAAACATATTTTCTATTAATATCTCATTTATTAATGCAATTCTGTAACACCAATATTTGCTCCATTATGTATTCTAATATTTTTAATTGCAATGTTGTATTAATTAAATACTGCATTAAACTTTTATTAAAAAATTTTCTCGCTCAAATTCAAAGATTACAATAAATTACTACAATATCTAATAAAATTATTACACAAACAATTTTGCGATATCTCTGTTCGAACTGTATTTAATCTTTAGGGAAAAAATCATAGATATTTCGTAGATAGAGCTCCTTTTATTACAGACATATCTACATTAAAAAAAAAAAAAAATGTTTCGACCGCTCCGCTTCTTTCATCGAAAGAATCATGTCGACAAATTCTGTCAACGCGCAACATCGTGCAATATTTATACAAAGGATCCATCACACGTATTGGTCAGAGAAATCTGTCACGTCAGAGAATTATCCCCTGTCAAAGCAATATATCAGCCGGAGATAACTATCGCGACGAAAAGTGACATTCCTTGAAACAATAACGATAACGTCCGTTATCACGTAAATTCGCATCTAATCCGGCGATATCACGCCGATATCCAATATTGGTTAATTGGTCGCGTCGTTATCGGCATGTTTGCAAGCGCTTACACTTCTCCCGCGCGCTCACTCACGCTCACGATCGCTACTCCCCACCCATCCCTTGACAGCCCCTTCTCGGAGAAAAAAAGTCACGGCAATGACACGCAGGGGATTAACGCGCACTCGAAAACAATTATCCCCTCTAGTCTTTCCTATTTCTTTTCTTTTGTTAAATTCGTGCCGATTCGTGCGACGCACGGAGGAAAAATCGATGCATTCGCTCCTTGGCTCCTTCCCCCGCGGTGCACTTACTCCTTGACGACAAAAAACGGGTTCTCCAGCGTCATTCCTCTATCCGCTCCGTCTTTGAATTTAAAGCCTGGGCCGCGGCCTGTCTCGCCGCGACGGCCGCGCGGCACCCTCTGTGGAAGCGCGCTCGCGCCTCGGCCGCTCGCTCATCGGTGGGACGAGATTCTCGAGCGCGACCGGAGGTCCCCTCCGAGAAACGGCGCGCTCGCTGGAGCTCTAGGATTCGCGCTGGGAGCTACACCCGCGGCGCGCAATCCCGTCTTCTGTCGTCTGGTATGGTCTAGTACGACCTGCGGCGGGGGTGCGCGGACAGTCAAGTCTGTTAGTGTCGTAGGAGCCGTGATCTCGACCTCGGCGGTGTTTCACTCGTAACAATTGTAACCGCGTTGTCGAATGCCGTGACGTTTGACGTGGTTTGACGTCTGCTCCGATTCCGGCGCAACGCACCGCTATTTATTTGACTCACCCCCACGGACGCGAGCGCCCCATTGCGGCGCGTCGTGGTACAATACTGCACGACGCTCGCAATCGTGGCCATCGCAATATTGATTCGCCGCACGAACATACCGCGGCGTTCATACCGTCGCGAGCAAGAAAAAAGGCCTTAAGGAAGAAATTGAATATCGTTTAAGCAACGTTTATAATGAGATTTTAAGTAAAACTTAAGTTAAAAGACTATGGCACATAAAAAACTTAAGGCAGTAGTGCCAGAATTCGACCAATCAGGTAGTTTTAATTTTAATCCGTTTTGTTCTAATTGACTGAATTCTAATTCTTATTTCGCAATTTTTAATCTCCAATGCGTAGTGTGACATGGGCATAAGGCCGAAATCAGACTATGTATCTTATATATTAAAAATTGAAAGCCAGTCTTACCAACAATACCAACTCCGATTAACCTAATCGGTCGATGTTACATTGGAACTAACCAATCACATTTGCTGTTCAGCAGAATTGACCAATCACGATTAATATTTAATCGAACGATAGCTCGCATTAGCTTAATTGGAGTTGGTAAAACCGAGCTTTTATCGACCGATTAAGTCCGAAGCTACAGATGTTTTAAGCCTTAAGTCGTAAAAAATTGACCAATTACAGTTGAATGCGAAAAGAAAAATTTACTATGATTCGTCTATTTCTTATGGCTTAAGGCTTATAAGCCCATTGTAGATCCAAATTAATCCAAGTTGGTAAAACTACCTGCGGCTGCTTTCACATGCAGCATAATTTGCGTAAGCGTAACTTGCGTTAGCCAATCAAATGGTTTTAACAGAATAAAGCGTAATATCTGATATAATTTAATTAATTAACGCAAGTTACGCTTATGCAAGTTACGCTGCATGTGATAGCAGCCTGAGGATAGAGTCCTAAAGCGTATTTACCGCGTATCGCGTAACCGCGTAACCAATCAATAATCAGTAAAACGCAAAACCACATAGCAAATCGCTTTTGATTGGTTACGCAGTTACGCAATATGTAAAGGATGTCGCACACAAAATTCCACATCAGTAATCATAATGCTTAATTCAGACTAGAAACAACAAGCATTAAGCAGCAGAGCAGCAACCAACCAGCAAAGCGATATTTTTTACGTTACTATAAATATCGCCATGCTGTGGCCATCCAGTTTGAATTAGGCATAAGACATAAACTAAAGTCCATGGCACATACAAAAACGTAAGGCCATAAGACATAATCAGTAAGCAAATTGCCCAATTATGTATTAGAGACCGTAAGGCAGATTCAATCTTACGATTTCCTTACTGATTACGTCTTACGTTTTTCTATGTGCTTCCGGCTTTAGACCAATGAGCCAATCAGAATATTGCTTTAGATTACGTAATCTAATGGAAATGAAAATAACACAGTAAAATTATCCATAATCTCGCAATAAGGTGAATTTCAACCGGTTGAAACTTGCCTTATGGATAAGTTTACTGCTATTTCCATTAGTGTACATGAATCTAAAGCAGTATCCTGATTGATTCATCGACTTAAGTTCACGTTTTAAAATTACTGTTATAAAAATTTTGTGTGCGGCAGCTCTAAATATACCTCAGGAACTCCAGCCTAAAATTAAAAATTAAAGATTAAAATTTAACCAATGAGAATAAAGAAATTTTAGCTCCTATTGTTTTGCTTGGTTAAATTTCAATGGTTTATACATTTAGATCCAGTGAGAAACTAAGGGCAAAACCAATTTTGATGCTCGAATCGAGCGTTGAGCGTCAACATGAAAATACAGCCTTATGATTGAGTGCATTTAGAAGCACGACCACTCACTGAGAGCTCAGTAAGCTCTTGCATCTGATTGGCATGTTCCATTAGATCTAAAAATATAAACCAAACAGGTACAAGAGCTTACTGAGCGCTTAATGAGCTCTTCCATTTGATTGGCATATTCTATTAGATCTAAAAATGTAGACTAAAAGGTAAAAGAGCTCATTGAGCTCTCAGCTTTTGTATCTGTTAGTCTATATTTTTAGTTCTAACGGAATACATCAATCAGATGCAAGAGCTTACTGAATGCTCAGTAAGCAGTCGTGTTTCTAGATTCACCTATTATCTATTGAGGCTACTTCCAAAACTTCCGAAGATTTTACTTTATATGCTATAGTATATGTTACGTATACTATATATTTCGAGTAAATTTTCCTCAGAGAGAAAGTTTTGAAACTAGCCTGAGATTGGATCATTCTGATCCGGTTTCAACCCTCGGTGGAAACTAGACCGATATTTCCGAACGCAGCTTAACTGACACTTATAGTTTATGGTCGCGCGCGCCATTTTCACTTGGTTTCAAATTCATATCCAAAGTTGTGCTAGTCGAATTCGATACTTGTATCGGAGTGTAATTCGGTGCGATTCGATTTTCTGTGAATTTGTGAACTTTACGAAGAATAACGAAGAATTCGTCTCGAGGCAATTCCTGCATTAATCCGCTTATTGCAGTAATTCGAGCTTCCCAGTGAGTATTCCTCACAACTATGAATCTACCTTTTTTAACTGCGCCTTTTTTTCGTTTGTCTATTTTTTTTTCTCTTTCACATCTCTCTCTTCTTCAGTCTCATTAAATTTAAATTTCATATCTATAAAATGGAGAGCAGAATGTGCAATAAGTAGAGCAGACATGTGTACGACTAAACATAACCTATTTAAACATTCCATGTAACGAAATCGACTTTCGCAAAAACTTTGAAAAATATTTTTTTATTAAGGATTGTAGGTATATTTTGTAGATAGGTAAAGTGCAAGTAAAACAGCAACATTTTGGGATATAATATTCATGTTTTTTTTTTCTCTTAAACTCTTACAATCATAACAGTTTAGGTATAACGATTTCGCTAGGACGGTGCTGGAAAACTAAATATTTCTGCTTTCATTGAGGAATGTTGCGTTTTTCAATTAAAGTATATACAGCGTTAGCTAATTATCAATTAAAAATATGGAAATATTAGAAATTTGCTAAAGGAATATATACACATGCGCATATATGTAAAAGTAAATCGCAGATGTCTCTTATTTACGTTCATGGTGTCGCTATATACAGAATGTTCCATAAAAAAAAAAACTAAATTTTTGAAACATTTATTTGCTTTGATTGTGATAATTGTGAAAAAGAAAAAATATTTCAAGTCTATCCAACTAACACAGCAATGTCTACATAGCATTAAAAAAGCAACTTTGCACTTTTTTCGTGCTTTCTTAACGCTTTATAGACACTGTATGTTACTTCGGTAATTTATGAAAGATGGATCTTGTGAAATATTTTTTGGATGTCACAATCAAAGAAAATAATTAAATTTTTTTCCATTTCTGGTGGTACACACTAAGTCTTTTCGACAAAAATATATTTTCTCCATATATAACATTTTTAGATTTTTAAAATTAAAAAATATAAAAAGTTTAATCTAATATAAAATAAATTCTAAATCTTAGAAAGAAACGTTCGTAAGAATTGTGTAGAGAAAATAGTTATTAATAAATGAATTAAAGTGACATATTTGTGTGAATAAAAATTTAAAATATAAAAAAAGATACAGATCGTTATCCCTTTCCATATTTTCGCATTGCCTTCTAATAATTCTGATAGTTAGATTTCTGTTAAAAGTTAAGCTAAAAGACAATTCTTTTGAAGCGAACAATGTGTTTCGATGCGATGAAACGCTCAATGTACATGCAAGCGTTACACAATTAAAAGTTTATAAGCAATACAGGAATTTTTTACATGTAAAGACGATTAACACAGGCCTCCCTCATAATCGTCCTCTTCCTCCTGCTTTTGTATAGGTTTTGGTGGTGATGCGACTTCTGGTTTCTTCTCGATTGATTGACTAGATTCATTGACTTCATTCTTTGCCTAAGAAAATCAACAAATCATTGTCATTATATGCCTAATGAAATCAAATATACAATAGTAAAATGACGGATAATAATCAAATATATAATAGTAAAATGACTAATAATGAAATTCACATGGTTAACTTCAGCTTCAACGGTCTGTCCGCCAACCTTGGACGCGTTAGGAGAAACATAGGATTCCGCGGCGTTGGCTCTTACTCCAGCAGGTGGAATAGCATATTCCTGTTGTGGTAAAGGTAAACCTCGTGCTAGCTTGGCGTACTCCACGTCCATGTGTTTGATAAAAGGACTGTTAAGGGCTGCCCGAGCTGCATCCGCATCTTCATTATCATATGCTTGTAACAACATCTCCAATGTTTGTACCTGAAGAACCAATAAATCGCGTATTGACATAATTGACAAATTTTTCCATCTTGGTATTAATGGATCGTCAACTTTCCAATTATCAAGAAATATTCGTCGAGCAGTATATAAGAGAATTTTAATTTTAAATTTCTTTTTATTTTTATGTTAAGAAAATTTATTATATATCTTTCACGTACTTCAGGGGCCTCGCAGAAGTTACCCCATTCTTTGAAGGCCTTCTCGGCCGCAACCTGATCACCTCGTGCCAATTGCACTAACACCAATGCCACAGTAAGCCTTCCAAGCGACTGCCAAAGCTTGACATCCTGATACATGCCAATCTCGCGACGTATCGCATCTGCCGCCTCGTCATACATCTGTAGCTTCACTAATAGTCTCGCAACTTTGCTCATGTATTCCGCTGCGTGTCGCGGATTGTCCTCGCCCTACAGACAATATCTTCTTTCAAGCCTTCTTACTATGAATTTTTATACAATTGTTTTTAACATTTAATTTTTTATAAATTTTCAAAATTCTTATATATACATTTTCTAAAATCTTTTAAATTATAGATCTGTATAATTAATCATATAATCTTTCTTCTTTCTCTTCGTATACTATATCGATATTTCTATAATTTTGTACTTCCTTTTGTTACTTTTATTCATAAAATGACAAGATTTTTACCGAGATTATGTCAACCGCGCGTCTAAATAGCTCTAGAGCCTGCTGGGGCTGTGTAGCTTCCAACATCTTAGCTGCCTTGTCGAGAGCAGTAACGGCTGATTCAGGAGATCCATGCTGCTGGAAAAGACCACAAGCACTGTGAGCTAGTTTTGATACTTCTGATAAATTCCCCATTTCCTTGCAGACAAGCAGAGCCTGCTCGATGCACCTGAAAACATTGCATTCTTATAATATTGTAATATGTTACGTGATAAAATCTAAATTATGTATATATGTGATATATACCTTGCTGCATGGAACCATCTATTTTATAATAATTGCAGAATTAAAGAAAATACACGAGGATGTGTGAAATTTTAGCAGAAACTTTAGGAAAAAATTAAGTTCCTATAATACAAAGTTTGTCTTTTGGATATTTTTATGAAAATGTAGTAATTGGTTATTAAAATAATGATAAAGAATACAATGAATACATTTTTGGACGAGTTTAATAAAAAGATATATTTTATGCAATACTTAAAATTGAAAAATCAGAAATTGTTTTTTATTATTATATCAAAGGATACGCTTTGGTTTGTTTGTAACAGTCGGCTGCCTTTACTAAACAATCTTTACACTGTGCATATGATTTGGCTACTCGAAAGCAGGTTGCTAAAGAATTATAAAAAGTATAGTTAAATTAATCAACTATTTACAAAAGTCTTGATTAATTTCTTAATTTATTCTATATTGTAAAATTTTTGAACACCGATAAAATATTTGATTTTTTATTTTTATACTTTGTTTAAATATTTTATTATTATATTATATCTCATATTTTTTTACCAGCATGTGAATATTCATCAGCTGCTACCTCATAATCAGGTCGCCATTTCAAGAATGTAGGTTTCAAGCTGAAAGAAACAAAAAGATTTGTTCCACATAAAAACCTACAAATAATATATACTATTGCTCTGAAGTACTTGTCCATCCTCTTTTTCTTAATTAAGTAAATAAAGTAGAATAAATTTTAGTATCCTCTTCCTTAATAAATTTTAGTACCTTCTTCCTTAATCTTCTAAATGTTAGTCTTAGTAACAATGTTTGATAAAACTCAAAATTTTCATTTTATATATTGTTTCTTTACTACAAAAATAACACAACTTAAAAAATTAAGTTTTCCAGAAAAGAAAAAGCCTATTTTTTCATTTATCAGAAAATCATTGGCTATTCAATCATTTTCGTGTTTCATAATTTAAAAAAAAAATCGTCCTTTTTAAATTATGATAATTTTTATGATTTTTTATGAAGCTTAGTTTACTTTTGATTGATAGATGATTAATAGAGTTATGTTTACTTAACTCATTCAAACTTGGTAATAACTCGGAAATTATGTTTTTTGAGTTGTATCACTTTTTAAATAAGGAAATATGATATGTACAAAGAATATAATAAAATTAGAACAGAATTTAGACATAAAAAAAGATATATATAAAAATTAAGATGGACAAATATACTTTTGAGCATTAATATATAGTTTTAAAAAACTTACACCTACAAGCTTTTAAAAGAGATTATTGCAGTTTGCCATAAGCTTATTTTGTTAGCCTTTAATACTAGATTTACATACCACGTCTAACAATACACAATCTAACGAGGAACATTCTAAATACTCCAATAATATCTGAGCGATTCGTAAGCATTAAAAGAATCTTGAGGGCGAGAGGAATGCTTACGCTTTTTCAGCCTGACGTATGTGCTCGTTTGCCTCCTCGATCTTTGACATTTTCTTCCGAATGGTGTCTTCGTTTTCCTCCGCGGTCGAGCACAACGACAACGAAGTTATGTCAGTTCGATGCTCGGAATTGTGTCTCAACCCTAAAAGCTGCTCGCCTCTCGTCAAAACACTGTGTCTGCATACAGACGCTGGAACTAATCTTTACACTTGTCGTTCATCAGCAGTATCACCAATCGTTCTCGAGATTGCGAGAAGCGCATAAGCGATTATCGATGAGGCGACCTGACTTAACCTAACCTAACCTAACCTAACTTAATCTACTCCGCCTCGCCTGCGTAGTGCGTCGTGTGTAACAGCTTGCCAAACGTGATTGGTTCTCATTCGTTCTTTATCAATTAGCTACGAATACCAATATATATTCGACGGATTTGTTTTGCAACACTCATCCGTGAATCACGACATCTTTAGTTCCTGTAATTGATGTTAATTTTTGTTTGAATTTTTCGAACGCTCAGTTTCAGTGAAAATGTAATTATCGTGATTTGCTAATATATTCGCTTGATTTTACGAGGTCTTCACTTCATTGTTGATTCTCATTGTGACAAGGTTTATTTCAACAACTGTAATTGTCACGAAGTCGTTGGCGGGAAAGACCTAACCTCAAATCGTGGGCTAATAGATAAATTCTCTCACGTTTACAAATTGAGGTAATAACAAAGGTTTTCCTCGTTGCTTCTGCTATTTTCACTTACATTTTTTTAGAATTTGATTTTTGTAATTTATGCGCTTCAACAAACTGCTTACTAAAGATAACCTAAAAAATTGTCAAATGTTACTCTTATTTATAAAAGATTATACTTTATATACATATTCTTACTTTAAAAGTGACACGACTCAAAAAATTAAGTTTTTCAGAAAAGAGAAAAAATAATTTTTGAATTTAACAAAAAATTATTGACTAATTAAGTAATATTAACAAAAGAAATACTCAGAAATTTTTACTTAGATTATATCAATAATGGCACATGTCATTTTTGTATCATAATTCTTAAAAAATTCTTTTTGAATTATAATGACTTAACAATCTACAAAATTATAACAAATTCTGAACAATTCATTATCATCATCAAACTTAAAGGAGGAATTATTATATACTGAAGAGAATTCGAATCATAGGTCGAAACTATATATTTTTATTATTGTCGTATAAATAAATTAACTAATACAAATATCCAGTGTCGGCTCTAATGATATTTATATTTTATTGTCTCAAAAATATATTTGTAAAAGGTATGATTTCTTTGAAAATCTTATTTGGCAGTTGAACTGTGAAATTAAATTAGTTTGCTTTTGATGATTGATAGAGTAATTTTTATCTAACTCATTCATGATAATAACGTGAAGGTAACATTTTTTAGTTGTGTCTTTTAAAGTAAGAGAACGATATTATATCTTATAAATGCTATAATGTATCTGAAATAACACTCACTAATTATATAGTGCTATTCCTAATAAAAAACTAAAAAGTGCTTTACTATTTTGCAATTTACAAAATAGTTAACGAGATATTAATTTCGAAACTTTGTTGAATAAACGGATAAAATCGATGTATAGGACAATTTTAAGATATCTTTTAGTTTTTTGTAAAATATCTTGAAGATGTTTCTTAAAGAACTCTTAAAGATATCTTAAAGTTTTCTTATACGTCAATTTTAGACATTTTGCTCATTGGATGACTAAAAAAAATATTGCGAAAATTGCAAAATGGTAGAAGACTTTTCGACTCAATTTTTTTATTAGGAACAGCACTATATGATTAATGGGCGTTATTTTAGATACACTCTGTATACATGTTAATTCTATTTTGACAATTTATGTCATGAGTATTATAATTGTAAGATTACGATATTTTACATTATTCTTTATTTATAAGAATTGAAAAAATATAAACGGTAATTAGATGGCCGAACGATTAGAAGATTTGAATTTGCCCAATGCGGTTGTGACCAGAATCATCAAGGAAGCTTTACCAGATGGAGTGACAGTTGGAAAAGATGCCAGAACAGCGGTGGCGAAGGCCGCATCCATTTTCATACTATATCTCACATCGGCTGCCAATATAGTAGCCAAGAAAAGTAACCGCAAGACTGTCAGTGGCCCAGACGTGATACAAGCGATGCTAGATGTCGAGTTTGATCAGTTTGTTGAGCCATTGCAGGAATCTCTTGAAAACTTTAAAAAGATTCAGAAAGAAAAGAAAGACGCGACGTCGAAGAAAAAGCAACAAAAGAAAGATGATGATGATATAAATGGTGAAGATGAAGAAGTGGGAAGAGAAATTATTGAAATTTTCTAAAAAGTGAATTTGTCACATATGTACTATTTTTCAAAATTTATCTATGATAATAATTTAAGATATTTATAATATAAATTAAATGCTCAGTGTGAACAATAATAAAAAACATATGAACTCTGAAGCTAATTAAATTAAAGCTTAATATTTATTTTAATTATTGTTTCATGTAATATTAGCAGATTACACATAAAACATTTTTTAATAATATTTATTACTTAATAATTTTAAAACATTATAATGTTATAAACGATGTGCGTTTTTCGTGCAACAAAGAAAATTAATTATTTAAAAGTTTGCGATGATGAGAAGATCGGTTTGCATAAATGAGCATTTTATTATATTATTTTACAGGAGATTCTCTCTTTTTCATGATCAAATAACGCTAACGTTAGATTGTTTATCAAAATTTCATTGTAAAAATTATTTTTTATAAATGCACTGATTTTCTCGTACTGATTTCTCGACTTAACTATCAACAAGTTTTATATTTTTTTTCTTTTTCTCAGGTGTGTGCTCATATATTCTAATACATTCTAATTTATAGAAGATATGTACGTGATTAATTTAATTACAATAGAATAATTATATTTTGCATTTATTAAGGATATAAAATATGTCCATTTTTTCTATGCTTCCTTTGAACATTTCACATTTCTTTTTAATTTCGCTTTGGTGGTATCTTCAATTAATACTGAAATCTATCTAAAGCCAATTGTCTAGCATATTTTATATATATTATATTATATAAGTATATATAAAATTATGTATGATTAAAAATTAAATTTTAACGTGTAAATTTGTGCTCTTATCTAATACATTCCAATGTGTACACAAGATTTCTATAAAATCAGTGTAAAACGTAATATAATATATAGTATAATGTTTACGGCATAACATAATGATAAAGCATAGAAATTCACGCAATAAATATTTTCTATATTTCTTAAATTGTGTCTTTTGTTATTAGATTGATATTTGTCTTTTTTCTTTTGATATTTTCTAACGAAAAAAAAGAACGATGCAAACGATTATCTAATCTACTATTTAAATTATCAATCAAAGTGCATATAACAAGATCTATAAGGTATAGATAATACTCGTGTAAAAGGCTGTTCCAATTTTGTTATATCAAATTGATCAAAGAATTTTCAATGGAAACATTTTACATTTTGTATGTAAAAAACTAGTTGCTTATGAAATTGATCATTTGAACAATTTTGCGAGTCACAATATACAGGATGTTTGAGATCACTCACATCTATTTTAAAATGAGAAGTGATTTTTATTAAAAACGCTTTAAATAAAAGTTATGTGATCTGAAAGAGACAAATAATAAAATCAATTACTTTTGTTTTAAATATTTTTGTTAAAAACTACTTCTCATTATTTTGAAATGGATGTACGCACACATGCAAACACACACACACACACACATACACACACAGGTGTAATAATAGTATATTCTCCATATACATTTATGAGCTTTATATTAGTGGTAAATATAACTTGTGCGTGGTTATACTTTCCACTACTATGGAAACAGTTGTTGACGTGCATAATCACAGACCAGGAAGAATAGCGTATTTTGATACTCTTAAGAAGTCAGTCATCAAGTTGACATTATTCGCGAATAAGCTGAATAAAACCGAGTTTTATAAATTTAAGGCTGCACAACTCGAACTTTACGTTCTATTAAACTTCTGCACATTGGACATTCTGCAGAAATTTTTTCTGCACAAATGGAGCAACAGCAGAAGTGTCCACAAGGTAAAAAAATCACTTCGCACTGCAAAAAAAGAAGACAATATGATTATAATAGTAAATAAATTGATATCAAGCATTGAAATTTTATATGTATAAAAACATTTACTTGCAAGTCGAAGCAAATTACGCATTCGATTATGTTAACATTCTGAATAGAATCGTCTTGATCGCTGGTTGATGCCTCTTCGAGAGGCGCAGAAGCTGTTACAGGCGATCTGGGTTCACTCAATTTAACTTCTGATAGATAATTCTCAACTGCCAGCATTATGGCAGCGCGATCATTTTCGCAATTTATGCCAATCTGCAAAACAAAAATGATATAAAATAATAGATGTGTTTTAAATAATTAAAAGTTTATTCACTATTCATTACAAATAAAGATAAAATCTGTTAGTATTACAAATTTATTTAACACTATAAAATACTCCAATTTACAATATTTTAAAGTGAAGTTTTAAAAATTTGATGAAGATACTTGCATTCTTTAATTGTTCGTTACTAATGTCTGGTAATAAAGATGGTAAAGTGGCTAAGAATGGAAGGCAGTGCAAAGCTCCTGCTATCGCCACATGTCGAACCAGCATAGGTTCCAACATCTCCAATAGTCCTTGTGGCCGAGCTTCCATCAAAGATTGATATTGCATCAGCCAAAATAAACTGTCCCGTCTCACGTTCTATCAATTTTTAATAATTTTATTGTTTTCTTATTTTGTTTCAACATCTTTGTTTTATTATCTTTTAAATTATATTAAAGTTCATTAATATTTATTAATTTTACAAAAAAGGAAATAGAACATTAAATAAGAAATTCGTGAAAATAATTACAGAGATGCCTCGCTGTTGCTCGATTGTATTGATCGTCTCCAATAGTTGAGCTCTCCTATTTGTTTGCTGCTCTAATAAGTCGACCAGAATATCTGTTAGAGCCACGCGTTTATCAGCGATCTCATTCTAAAAATACGTAAATATGTATATATGTATATAAAATTAAATATATAAATTACATATATTTAATTTTATATACATATATACATATAAAAATATATTTTATTATATTTAAAGATATTAAGATTTTATTATATCTAAAATTTAAGAGGTTGATAATCTTTTATTAAGAGTATAATAATCTTATGAGCTATGTAATTATTATATTATGATCTATGTAATTAGTGTTATGATAGTAAAAATATTTTTTTTAATTCTTATTTGATGCACACGATAAGATTGAGCATACTTACAAGCTGCTGAGTGATCTCCAACTTTCGCCTTTCGAGTTCGATATTAGTAAGCGCAGCCAATTGTGATTGCACGAGATTCATTTGCTGAATAATACTCCAGGAACGCGCATCGCTCCGTTCTAGCAATGCGGCAACTGCTGCTTTCTGTAAGACTTCATCCCGTCGCAACCTATCAATAAGGTCTTGTCTGCTTTTCTCCTGATCATGTACTATCTGTGCCAAGTGGTCGTTGTTTCTCACTTCCCTTAATTCGAATTTTTATTTTATTCTTCTTAATTTATTCTTTTTATATAATGATGATAGTTATTATATTACATAATATAAAAAAAAAGTTGTTCATTCATAACTGTTCATAACTGTTATTTAAAATGTAATTAAAGTTTATTAATCAGTTTATATAAATTCTTTTTAGAGACTCAATCTATAAATAATTCCTCATAGATTTATATTACCCATCAAATTGACGAAGACAATTTGATAACTCATTGCAATGAAATAATATATTTAACATATCTTTGTATATCTTTTATAGACTGACTCATAAGAAAAACAAATGTAAAGAAAAAATTTATTACTGACAACGTAAGCAAGGATTGTACGGTGCCGTCTCTGTATTTGGTATGCTCTTCCCATTTCCTTGTTCTACACATTTCCTCGTCCAACAACTTCTCCATTGCAACTGCAAAATGAATTTATATTCATGCGCGAACACTCTTGATTTTGGACAAGCTTTATATTCGATACTTACAAAGAGTGTCTTTCGTACGTAGTAGGAACTGTTCTGAGTGGCAGGAGCTTAATAGTTGCATTTCTTCTTGCTTCTCCCGCTCCACTAACTCGGCCTGACTCTGTCTTTCTTCCTCGCTGTTTCTCAGAAATTCTTTAATTACGTTATCAGCTTCTTTCTCCGCTAAAAAAAAGTTCATTTATATATTTATATTGATTTTTCATGTTTGCTAAATTAATATATTTTGTGTAGAATTTGTTAAAGAGTGAAAAGGAGATATATATGTACCATTGTGAATGTACGAGAGTAAACGCGCTCTATTCGTGTCTCTTTCCTGTTGAACTTTTTCGAGTTCTTGCTCCAATTGTATCTGCTGCAACGCTACGTCTTCTAAGAGCTAAAAACGCAACAGTTATTTATATTTAAGACGTTTACATATTTTGTGTGCACTTAATTCACCTTCTTCCTATGAGCTTTGAGCATGGATTGCATCTCTATCTCGTATTCCTGTTGTTGTTTTATGTTTTTCTCCACTTCCAACAAGGCATTTTGCCGATGTTCCTGTCGAAAGCGAATTTCATTGGCATCAACATATTATATAAAAGACTAATAAAAAATTCAATATCACTCTTACACGAATAAACAAAAGAAATTATTTTTATTAATCTGTTATTAGCAAACGATTTTTTTATTAATTTATTTATAAAATTCTCACAAATTTATAAATACAATCGATTTTTTTAATGTCTGTATAACAGTTAAATTAGATGAACAAATAATAGAAGGAAAAAATGTTATATATTAATATTCAAAAAAATTCTGTAAAATATAATTCTGTAAAAAATAAATCTAAAAAATGGAAGAAAGAAATCGGCACTTTAATAGCGGAATTATTACTTAACAAATATAAGTGAGGCGCTGGTGCAATAATGATTCAAGAAATAAAAATAAAAGAACAAAATATAATTTTATTCATACTATAAAAATTATACTATGGATTTCTTTCGATTCAAAAATTTTGTTTACTTATTTACTTTTTATAAATTGGATTGTGTTATTGCACTAAGCACCTTTCAAATCAACTTATTATTAAGTAATAATTAAATGGATGACAAGTGGGAAGCATACGAAACTCAAAGAAGCGTCCAACATGCCTTCATTTTGTTTAGCTTCTGTAATGCTGCCTAAAAGAGAAAAAAAAAAACTATGAATATGCGCGAACATTATGCGTGAAACATAGATACTTGCAAAATTGATCAGTTTCTGTTCTG